TTCGTTATTAAACCTAAATTAAATTATAATAAAAAGTTAAATTAAAGAAATTGTATTAAAAAAAAGAACTTTTAAATAGTTAATTTTATATTAATATCGATATATTTTTTTCAAATTTTTATGATATTTTTAGATTTAGTTTTATTCAAAAGTAAAAATAACATCTTTCTCAAAACCACATAAACCGTATTATATTAACAGGGACAAAAAATAAAACGAAATATTAAAATAAAGATGTATCTTGCTGCATTACGCGCATACTCTTTTAATACATATTAAATGTGTCATGGTGTTTTCTTTATTTTTGTTTTTCAATATTCTAATTTGAATCTTTATTTTTCACGTTTTAAATCACATGATATGAATTTTTTTGAAAAAACAAATCAATTAATTATGAATCACATGTGATTTTGACCAAAATAGTAATTTATTTTAAAATATTGCCATAAATAAAAAATAAATTCATTAAATCAAAATCAAATCACACTTTTCAAATGCCTTAAATAAAAAATAAATCTTTTAAATAAAACATTAAATCACATTACAATCACAAAAATGGTAAAAAAGAGAATCTTAAATAAATGTTGGTCAATTTTATTCATACCTCCTTCTACATTAACCTATTTTTTTCATACCTCCCCTGCACTAATATACATCTGAATATAAGTGACATATCATCACATATATCTGAACATAAGTTACGTATTATTACATATGATAATATTTACATCACAAAAAAATTAATAAATATAAATACATATATAATTAACAAAAACATCTAAAATTATCACATCAAACAAATCATTATATGCCATAAAATTTATAATCAAATTGTTATAAGTTTATCTTTCTGATGCAATCTGTTTATTAAATATTATTAAAAATTAGTTTGAAAAACAAACTCAATCTTACCAAAGGGCACTTGGTCTAACAGCATACGAGTCTTTGTTCTCCTAGAAAGTCAAGAATTCAAACACCATCAAAGGTGAGAAAAGTATGTGTGTTTATTTGTTCTATTTATCTTATATTTGTACTATATTATAAAACATTAGACAAAAAACTCTTAAAAACTATTTTTTGTGCATGAAATATTGTTTATTGATTTATATTACTTAAAATTTAAGATTACAAATAAATTATGCCTAAGTACAACTTATTAAAGCTTCTTGTTTGAATTCGTGTAACTAACTGCAGATAAACATAATCAAACAGATGAAAAAAATCTCATTTTAAATATAAAAAATCAAAAATGTAATTAGGATAACCATTGACTTCTAACAAAATACTTAATTATTATCAATATATAGATTATATTATTAAACCAAAAAATAAAAAAATGAATTACAAAAGTACACAAGAAAACGAGAAATTTTAAATGGGTAGTTTAATAAATTTTTTTTATTTTTTTATTATATTTTATTCAAAAATAAAAACATTATTATTTTCTCAAAATCACATAAAATCATATCATAACATCGACCGAGACAAAGAAAGAAATAAAAAACATTAAGATTGAGATTTATTTTGTTGCATTGTGCGAGTACCTTTCGGGTATTTCAAAAAGAACCCAATCTTTTCAAATTTAATTTAGTAATATTTTTATTTAATCAATTAATTAAATAAAAAATAGTTAATTTTATTTATTTTAATCTAAAAATGGGTAAGTTCCCCTGGTCATATGCAAAAAATCTATTTATTTACCAGCGAGATGTACGGATATTCATCAACCAAGCAATTTTTATACCTAACAAACAAATCAACAGATCCATCCATTCCCCATTCATCTTCTTCTCTCCCATTCACAAATCACAATACTTTTCCCAATTGAAGCCATCCAAATCTTCCTCTGTAATTTCTTTTGCATTCCACATCATAATCACAAGAAACCCATAATGGGTTTGAAGAATCTCTTCAATCGGAAGAAGAAGAAGAAGAAATCCGCCGAGGAAGACAACACCACCCATGAACACGAATCCACACTTCCCGAAACGAATCCCACGAAATTGACGCCGGAAACGCACCGTGCCAACTCCTTGGATTCTCGTATACGGATCGAGGAGGAACTCGAGCAGGTTTTCAATAAATTCGACGTCAATGGCGATGGGAAGATCTGTTCATCGGAGCTGGGATCGATCATGGGGAGCCTGGGACATCAACCCACGGAGGAGGAGCTAAAGAACATGATCAAGGAGGTGGACGCCGACGGGGATGGATTCATAGATTTGAAGGAGTTTATCGAACTCAACACAAAGGACATCGATTCGGCGGAGGTTTTGGAGAATCTCAAAGATGCCTTTTCTGTTTTTGACACCGATAAAAATGGATTGATCACGGCGGAGGAGTTACAGAATGTTTTGGGTAATCTGGGCGAGGAATGTGCTATCGCCGAGAGCCGGAAGATGATCGCCGGCGCCGACCGCGACGGCGACGGGATGATCAGCTTTGATGAGTTCAAGGTTATGATGATGGTGGGTTCGCATTTCGATTCAGTGGGGTCAAAGAAACATGAGCCCGTCAACAAAGATTAAATTAATTATTTTTTTTAATCGTATTTTCTTGTATTGATTTTAGAAATATTTTATCGTTGGATTATTGATGTATTCTTGGTCTTCAATGATTAAGATTTGGATCTCTAATTTCTTTTTATTTATTTATTTATTTAATGAATGTCAACTTTCTGAATCGACGAGACTGTGTTACATACTGAGACGTGTTGTAATTTGTTCAGAACAACGTACGTTTCACTGTTTCTTGACGACCCTCTCTTTTCGATCCAATTACCTGTTCGTCAAGGTCATGGGCTACACTGCAAAAAGCAAACCGATCAATCTTGGAGAAAAGTGACATCTATGTTTACGCTAACAGTTGTGATAAGTTTGAAATTATGATTTTGTATGAAAGTCGTAAGAATTTTGTATATGGGTTCACTCACGTTATTCGATCTCATGAATCCAAACAAATTTGGAGGTACGAAGACGGCAAGAATCTTTCAAACGTACTGGAGTTTATATGCATGCTTCTTGCATTTCCCTGTTTAACAACATTAGTACATAAGTACCGATAACGTTGAAGCGTAGACCGTAAGTTTATAAAATCATTTAAAATGATCGAAATACTTAACTATTTTGTCTTAAAACTATACTGATTCAAAATTCTTGGTGCAGAAATATATAATTATCATGTATTCATGTACAACTTTAACACCACTCGTTTTTTTGTATTTATAATTTGGAAGATGAATCAAATACAAATATGAAAAAGTTAATTTAAAAAAATATATAACTTAGAGGTATCAGAAATTACACTAAACAAAATTGGTGACGTTGTTGCTCTGCGATTTGACATTTTATGCGTTATGTGTTTGATGATTTCTCATTGAACTAGCATGTGATTTATGATCAGATATGAACAAGCAATCAAACCACTTTACAAAGCTAAATACTTCTGGGTGACCGATAGCAAAGTAGTACTGAATGATTCTACCATAAAGACCAACGATAGACTATAACTCCCCCTAACCTAAATCTGATTTAGGTGTCAAAGATTTTGATTTATGTATTATTTGTATTCTGATTTCTTGACTTACTTGTTTAATATTTTATTCGTTAACTTGTTCCTCTTAATGTTGAATGATAATTGTCTTAATGTGAAAAGCCGTATTTGCATACCATAAATTTAAAACCCCCGTGTTATTTCTTGACCCTAAAAACTCAAAGAAATAAACACCTTCTTTTTTTGTATCGTATATTAACAACCGATTAAATTGGTTCATAAATGTTGGTATTGATAATTTATTATGTCTAATTACAAATTAAATGTACACGTACGTTGTTACACAATGTGAAATTTAACTGTTTTGATTTTTTTTTATGATTTTTTTTGGAAATTAATCAAAATTAGATATAAAACTTCTAAAATTCTCAATATTACGTTGTTTATTTGGTTGATTGGCGTTATACTTGGAAACAGTAATAATATTTCCAAAAACTATGTTATGAACAATATGGAAAAAATGTGTATGTGTTAAACTTGTTGTTCTATGAATTGCATTTTAATATTATATATGATTAGACATGATATATACACTTAATTTTATATAAGCAAACGCAAATTGCGTTAAACAACAAATAACGGACAAACTTTACCTCCGTTTTTGAATGTGTTTAATATATAATTAAATGTTGTAAAAAGGTCTTCACTTTCAAATGATCCTACTTCCCTCTACCAATGAAACCTCTTATAAATATAACAAAGTGGACATGGATTTTTTTTTCCATGGATTAACCACAAAAGTGGTGTTTGATTAGTTTGAACTTGACTTCAAAGGTCAAAAGTATCAGGAGGTCTCAGGTTCAAATCTAAGAAGGAATAAAATTCCTCTTGTGGCATCGGAGGTTCAAATGTGGTGACTCTGGTCTATCTGCAAAGCAGGTGGTCGTCTTGGGATTATTCGGCTCGCATAGCGGGTTGGATATTCAGGTTAATAAAAAAAAAGTGGACATGACTTCAAACTAAAAAAACATTAAAGATTTTAAAAATCAGAAATCAAACAACCCATCAAAACCATTGTTTAAAAAGACATTGTTATGACGTAAGACACGTCTCCATCATTATGATAACACCTATAACATTTACATAAGGCGTGACTCATGTCATGACGTCTTGAAGCATGCCATTGCACGACGTGGTGTAGCGTTTTATAAAGCGTGATTTTTTCCAATTTCTACAAGATCCGTTATTCTTTTGTTAGAAAATCCGGAGTCTATAAATAAATTGTGATTATTGTGTAAACGACATTATAATTTCTGACATAATTATTATTGATTAATAAAATAAATTTAAGGGGGTGTTTGAGATTGCTTATTTAAAACAACTTATGTTTTTTTATAAAAGTGCTTATTAACTTATGTGGTATCAAAACGGAGTTTTGTAAAACAGAGTTAAAATTGTAAACTGGTAATAAGCAGTTTTTCATAAGTCATGAAGGATTAACTTATCAAAAACAGCTTATTACCGGTTTAACACCAGTACAAACAGTTTCTTTTTTCTTATCCAAACACCAGAAAACAGTTTATCATCAGTGTCAAACTGAAATAAGTTAAAAAACAGCTTTTATAAGCCATCTCAAACACCCTCTAAATATGCAAATGTCATAGCAGAAGCAGGATAGATCAGGTCTTAAAAATCGTTACGTATCATTACGTACTCGTCGTGACAAGTTGGCATCATGCAATTGATGAAAACACAGTTTTTTTGGGTCTTGTCGATCCGGAAAATATGTTTGATTCTTTGACTTACTCCCTATACGCGTAAACAGATTTGTCCTGTTTTCCGTTAGAGTTTGCCTAAAAATTTCTCAAAAATCCACGGCCATCGCCGATGAATCTGTGTTCACAAACATTGAAAGTGACAAGGTCTGAAACGGGAACGATATCGTTAATGGCCATAGCAGACAGGCGCTAGGATAAACACAACCACCAACAGGGCTCCGATTTCTCCCTGCCGGCGGAAGCACCAAATAGGTATCGGAAGAGAAGAGGATTGTGTGTGAGAATTGAAGATACCGATCGGGATTGTAATTTATTTTAGATATAAAAATTACGGTTTAATAGGTTAAACAAAACTAGAAATCCAAATCATCGCAAAGAAATCAATATTTTGTTGACTAATATGCATCACTATCGATTTGAAAATTGTTTAATTCGGATGAAGAACACCAGAAAAACTCTGTTTATCCCATAATTATGTACATCTGAAGATCAAAATCACACATAACAATAAAAAACAGAAATTCCTCCCTGGATCTGAAGCTAGGCAACTTAATCAACATCAACGATGATAGAATCTAGGTTCTTCTTTTAAGATCTACCGACAGAGATCGGCCTGTCGCTAATCCCCAAAGGCGAGCGGCAACGCTTCTGCGACTTGGAGAATTCTCGTAACACTGATCTGATCTCCGACTGCTCGATTCCAGCCGGATGCTTCGTCTTCTCCAGCTCTTGCTTTATCTTCTTCACTTGGCTATGAATAGCAACGACACCTTCGCCATCCTCCACCGCCAAAAGGTGGTTGTTGGTGGTTGTTGTCTCCATGTCTTCTTATCTCTTTTGAGCTCTCTCGCTGTGCGTGTTGTGGATGATATCCTATGGTTGCATATCTCATGAGGCCTATTTATACCTGGGGTTTTAGAGAGAGAGAGAGAGAGATCCGAATATTTTGAAAGTTTTACTAAATTCAATTAAATTCCTTGTTTAGGGATAAGGGATGACCGTTTGCTATTTTTTAAAATAATATTATTAAAATTATTCTCCTTTTTAATTAAAGTTAATAATTATTTAACAGTTGTTGAATGATTTGATACTAAATAATTAATTGATCGAAATGATTAAAAGACTTTCATGATATAATGCAAAATGAAATATAGTTGTTTGAAAATTATTTACAATTAAATTAGGGCATTGAATAGTTAAAGAATACCTATGATACAAAATCATTCAGATGATTTAAAATTATTAAGAAACAGATTTTTTTTGTCAAACAAGATTCATCACTTAATGAAACTATTAAACAAACAACCCCTTATTTTTATCAAAGATTTTAGATACTATAAATAATAATAAAAAATATTACTTTCTCCATTTTGAATTTTTTTTAAAAAATATCTTAGAGAAAAAAAATTCCTACAATCTTTATTTTGAAGATTTGTGAAAGATTTTCCAAATTGGATAATCAAAAATTAACATTTTTAGAGATAATAAAATTTAGTTATATTATTAAAATATTTAATAAAATCAATAAATATTATTTCGCTCTGCTCTTTTATACTTTCTCTATTTTCTACATAATATTTTTTGGTGTACATTAAATTTAAAGAATTTCATTTTTTTTTTATTTTAAAGAATTTATTGGACAAAAAATCTCTCAAAATCTCTATTTTATACCATAACTTTAAGTTGAATTTAAAGTTATTAGTTGAACTCATATACTATTGTTTTTGGGTCTGAAAGGTTGCATTTAGGGACTATTGGTAGTTATTGAATGATTTAATGTAGAATGATTAAGATGATCTCATGACATAGTGCAAAATGAAATATAATTGATTGATAATTATTTACAACGAAATTAGGGCGCTAAATGGTTAAGGGAACGCATGATACAAAATTATTCATATAATTTTAGAACAATTACGAGACAGATTTTTTTTATCAAACAAGATTCATCTCTTAACGATTAATAAGTTGCTTCTTAATAGAACTATTGAGAGTTACAAACAACCTCTTAGGGGTTGTTTGTTTACCTCTTAATAGTTCCATTAAGATGCAACCTCTGAATTGTTAAGAGATGAATATTGTTTGACAAAAAAAATATGTCTCTTAATAGTTTTAAAACTCTCTGTATGATTTTGTATCATGGATCTCTCTTAATCATTAAGAGCCCTAATTTCATCGTACACAATTATCATACAATTATATTTAATTTTGCAATATATACTGAGAGTTTCTTAATCATTCTGATCATTTAATCATTTTGCCTCAAACCATTAATCAATTGTCAAATAATCCCTTAGTTTTGTATTATTTAAATAAATAATAAAATATAAAAAACATGAAGATCGAGTTGTGTTGACTGAAAGGCTATTATTTT